ATATATATCCATTTCTTTTGGTTCCATTAGAGGAGGCTTATCAGTTTCTTCTAGAGATATCATGATTTCCAGATTCTATGTAATTTTTGTGTTTTTGTTTGTGCATTTGAGGAAACAGCCCCATCTTCTGACTGTTACAGGTGTTTTTATTTTCAGGCATATACCTTACATATTCAGTCTTCCCCATGATTTTGGAAGGGCCAGCATGTTTAGACCCTACACAGATGAAGTATGTTATCGGTCCTGCTCACAACTGGACACTGCCTTTGCTCTGATGTGAGATGGGGCTGCTAGCTGAGTACTGTGATGGCTTCTGGTCAGTTCCATCACAGGGTGTATTTTCTGGCCATGCAGTTCTGCTCTTGGGATCAGCAACTGAACAAGACTGCAGGTTGGGATTCAAAGTTAAGTGGGGTTAGTGTTAAAAATGTGCAGGACAGGAAGTTATGTTCTTTAGAGATGCACAGTTGAGGATTGCCTCTCTATGAGAATCGAGCCATGGAGCAGACTTTTGGCTGAGTTGAGTGTCTGTTTGACCTCCTAGGTCAAGAAGATCTAGCCCCTACACTTCTTTGAAAGGTGCAAAGATGGGAGTCTTTCTTTCTGTTTAAGGTTGCTGGGTGGGCTTTGTCTCAGTGGAGCCATTGCTTAACTTCCCTGGTCAAACAGTTCTAGCCTCTAGATTTCTCTGAAGTGGGCAGAGGCTATGTCTCCCTACCTTGGCATGGTCATTGATTTGGGCTCTGAGGCTGGATGTGGAGACTAGCTGCCTACAGACTGAAACCAAGTTGAACTTCTCACTTGGCTTCTCTGTGCTTTTAGAGTTTTAGCCATGCTGTTGCTCCCAGTGTATCCTGTGAGGTGAGATTAAAGTGGGCTTTCTGGGAAGTGTCTCAGAATGATAGGGGAGCTGATGACTGCCTCCAGTTCTCCTTTCCCTAGTTATAAACTATAAACCTAGGGAAATCCTCCTTACCTGGTATTTTGCTGACTTTGGGGAGGAGAAGGGACAACATGGTCAAAGTGAGAGCATTCTTTTTACCCTTATAATTTAATTTTCAATTCATTCTGTGGTACATGCAGTTTTCTCAGGCTTGTTTTCAAGTATTGATGTCTCTCAAAAAGATATTCTGGAATTTGACAGTTGTTAGTTGAACTTTCTGTGGGATAATGGAGCCTGAGACTTCCTATTCTGCCATCTTGCTCTGTACGTGTACCAGGCTATTTTTATGACTATGGCTTTATAATATAATTTGAAATTAGGAAGTGTGATGGTTCCTACTATGCTTTCTTTCTCAAATTTGCCTTGGTTATTTGAGGTCTCTTGAGTTTCCATATATATTTTAGAATTTTTTTCTATTTGCATGCAAAATGCTATTGAAGTTTGGTGAAGATTGCATTGAATCTGTAGAATGCTTTGGATAATATGGGTGTTTTAACATTATTAATTTTTCTGATCCATTAACAGGATATTTTTCCATCTATTTGTGTCTTCCCTGTTTTCTTTCTTTGATGTTTTATAGTTTTCAGTGTATAGACTTTTTAACCTTTTTAATTATTTTTTTCCTCAATACTTTATTCTTGTTGGTGCTGTTCAAAATGGGATTGTCACATTAATTCATTTTTTGAATAGTGTGTTGTTGGTGTAAAGAAATACTATTGATTTTTGTGTTGATTTTATATCTTGTAAATGTAATGAACTCATTGATTACTTCTAACAGTTTTTATGGTATTTTTAGTTTTTTAACATATAGGATCATATCTGCAAACAGAGATAATTCACGTCTCATACAATTTGGATTTTATTGGATATAATTTCTCTGGATATAAATTTATATCACATTTATTGATTTGCATATGTTGAACTATCCTTACATCCCTGGGATAAATTCTAGTTGATCTTTTTAATAAGAATGATCTTTTTAATGAGGCAATGACTTTGATTTGCTAGTATTTTGTTAATTTCTGTATCCGCATTCATCAAGGATATTGACCTGTAGTTTTCTCTTCTTATGGTGTTTCTGTCTGACAGTTCCACGTAATGCTGGCCTTATAAAATGAATTTGGAATTATTCTTTCCTCTTTAGTTTTTCAGAAGGGTTTGAGATGGATTGATATTAGTTCTTCTTGAAATGTTTGGTAGAATTCAACAGTGAAACTACCAGGTCTTGGGCTTTTTGTGATGAGAGCCTTTTTAAAATTATTGATTCAATCTCTTTGTTACTGCTTTGTTAAATTTTCTGTTTCTTTCTGATTAAGTCTTAGTAGCTTGCATTTTTTTCTAGGAATTTATACACTTTTTCATATTGTGTATAATTGTTCATTATAGTCTTATATGATTCTTTGTATTCCTGTAGAATCAGTTATATTCTCATTTCTTTCATTTGAGACTTTTTTTTCTTTCTTAGTCTTAGAAATTAGAGAGTGTCAAATTATGCTATTTCCTGGAGAGGTGTGGGATAGAAGCCAGTCCCTGTGGCTTGTGTTGTTAGTTGTGTGTTACATTTCTTCTTTCCATGCCTAGACATTGAGTGGCAGAGTTTATCTCTCAGTCTTTCTGCTCTATACCAAAGATTGGATCTGAGGCATATGCCTGTACTTTTGATCTGACTTCAAAATTTGAACCAGGGGAGATAACTACTGAATATTGATAAGTTTAAAAGTTGCCTCTTTGTTCTTTGTGGTCGAGGAGACTCAGGAGTTTAGAGCTCTGTCAGCTTCCACAGGTAGGTGATTTGAGAGTCAGTTTCTGGGTGAAGGCTGTAAAACTTGGGGTCCTTGATGTTATACAGAAGTGATAAGACATCCTTGTCTTGTTTTTTTACTTTAGTGGAAAGCAGTCACCATTAAGTATGATGCTAGCTATAAAATTCCCTTTTATTTTCAGTTTGTTGAATATTTTTCTAAAGAAAGGATTTGAAGTTTGCTTTTTTCCAACTATTGAGATGATTATAAAGGAAATCATTTATTAGTATCACTTAGTAAATCAATTGATTGATTTTTGGTTTTTAAACCAACACAGCATGGGATTGTTAATTTTCACTCTCATTTTCTTAGTCTTTTTTTAATGTATTTATAAATAAATAAATAAATAAATGTTCTTTCTGCTTACTTTAGATTTATTGTGCTCTTCTTTTTCTTGCTTGTAAGATGGAAGTTTTGTTGGTTGTGGTCTCTTTTCTCTTTCAGTATAAGTTTGCAGCTGTAAATTTCCTCTAAGCATCACTTTAGGTATATCCCATAAGTTTTTGTGTGGTGTGTTTTTGTTTTTTCTTCTTCTTTTTTTTTTTTTTTTAAGATAGAGTTTCACTCTTGTTACCCAGGCTGGAGTGCAAGGCGCTATCTTGGCTCACTGCAACCTCCGCCTCCTGGATTCAGGCAATTCTCCTGCCTCAGCCTCCTGAGTAGCTGGGATTACAGGCACGCACCACCATGCCCAGCTAATTTTTTGTATTTTTAGTAGAGATGGGGTTTCACCATGTTGACCAGGATGGTCTCGATCTCTTGACCTCATGATCCACTGCCTCGGCCTGCCAAAGTGCTGGGATTTTATAGTCTCTCTTATGATTTTTTCTTTGGCCCATTGGTCATTTAGGATAGTGTTGTTTAAATTTCACTTATTTATGAATTCCTTACATCTCCTCCTGTTATTGATTTCTAATGTCATTTCATATAGATTGAAGAATATCTTTTGTATGAGTTTAATACTATTAAATTTATCAAGGATTGATTTATATCCTAACATATTACATATCTTAGAGATTTCCAAGTATATTACAGAACAACATGTATTTGTATTCTGTTGGATGCAGTCTTCTATCAGTATCCATAGACTTCCAAAGAGCTCTACTTACTTTGTCATATTGTTCAATTCTATTTTCTTCTTGATCTAATGCTTAGTTGTTTAGTCTATTACTTAAAGTGGGATATTGAAGCCTCCACCTATGATTGTTATAGTGTCTATCTGTAATTGCCAACAATTGGGCATGAGAAATCACACACAGGATTTTAACCTGGAGTAGGACTCCTCAATTTTCACACACACACATATTCATACACACGTTCTTATATTCACATACATACATATACATACAAATAAGCATATTTAGAAATCATGAGTTTTCCTGGACATCTTCAATTCCAGTTTATCCTCTCAGGTCTTGTTCTTGCCTTCCTTCATTTTGTGCATATTTATTTTCTTTTCCACAGCATAAACCTGACTGAACATTAATAACACATGTACTCATTTGCTTTATTCTCTAATGCTCCTCAATTTGTTCTAGAATTGCTTTGCTCATAGGACTCAGAAAAACAAATTTACTAAAAATATTTTGTGATTTTATTTGCACCCTACTCTCTTGACCAAGACTGAGGATATTTGTCAAGTTTGTATTCACAGATTACTTGAATTAATGCTTTGTTATTTCCCTCAGTAGGTTCACTTATTTCTTTGAGTTATAGTTTCCCTTTCTAATTCTATTGATTTTGCTTTACCCATATATATGTATATATATATGTTTTGGAATTGTGCATTAACTTACTTCCCAAAATGAAAAATAAACAAAAGGTATACTTAGAGCATTTCATTCCTCCTGTATCTCTTCTTTCTGTATTTCTCTGTTACAGGTAACTGTATATATTGTTTTCTGGTTTATTTTTCTTACATTACAATTCATGAAGGTAATTTTCTATTTCAATATTTTTCTTCATCTCCTTTTCATTCTTATCTAAAGAGTAGCATTCCAGATATGCATTTTTTGTTTTCATTTGTTTATTTGCTTTCTTCCTATTTAACATTATGCCTGGAAATAATAAAACAGCAACATACACCTATTAAAACTTCTCACATTTTTCATGTGAGATCTAGCTTTATGGTAATTTACTCATGACTTTATGAGAATGAGAGAAAATGCTACTGTGCACATGTTTAAAATGTGAGATATAGAGACTTAATAGATCTCTTTCTTTATTTAGTAGACTAAATAACTCTTTTTATGTAGCTGACAGTGAAGTCTCAGATGAAAATCTTATGGTTGAAAATAAAGATTCAGTAACAAAAGTCCAAATAGAACAAATGAAACAAAGAACTTATAGTATGGAAAGACACAAGGGTGAGTATAATAATTATAGATAGCTTTATGCTCTTTTAAGTTAACTCATCAGAAGGTCTTTTTTTCTTTGGGTCATGATATTTGAACATATAATTTGTAGAAATTTTGTTTCTGAACATACATGTGAATACTGCAAAATAGGGAACAAAAGTGCAAGTTTCGATACTTTTGATTGCTATTTGTATGGTCAATAACTACTATGTAACAAGATTGCCTTCACACACATTTATGGAAATTATTCATGAGAATTTTCTTTTTTTTTTTTTTTGAGACAGAGTTTCGCTCTTGTTACCCAGGCTGGAGTGCAATGGCACGATCTTGGCTCACTGCAACCTCCGCCTCCTGGGTTCAAGCAGTTCTCCCCCCTCAGCCTCCTGAGTAGCAGGGATTACAGGCACGCGCCACCATGCCTAGCTAATTTTTTGTATTTTTAGTAGAGATTGGGTTTCACCATGTTGACCAGGATGGTCTCGATCTCTTGACCTCGTGAACCACCCACCTCGGCCTCCCAAGGTGCTGGGATTACAGGCTTGAGCCACCGCGCCCGGCCTTATTCATGAGAATTTTCTACTTCACATCCATGGTCTATTTTTAACAAATAGCTCACTGCTGTAACTTCCTAGTCCTATTCTTTTAACTTTTCACAAATGAGAGGACATGTTGCTGTTACTTGACATATACAGAAGTTTTATCATAAATCTGATTTTCTATTTAGTGACTCTTATAACCCCGCAATCGCCTGAGGATGTGGTTTTAGTTTCAAGAAGCCAATCTCAAACTAAAAATCTTGACGCTACCAGAAATGAGAGTTTTCATTGTAAGTAGTAAGTTTAAAATGTTATAAAATGTTTTTTAATTATTTAGTATATACTTGTAGATCTTTACTGTTGTCTCTGTAATTACTGAATTAGATGTGTTAATTTTTCCACTATGATTGTGAATTTCTTTGTTCCTTTTCATAATAGCTTTTACTTTATATCTTATGAAATTTTGTTGTTAATGTACATATAAAATTAAAATTAACAGTCTTACTGGAAGAAAGAAACTTTTGTCCTAATGAAGGCCAGGCCATGAAAACCTATAAGAAGTTTTAAATATATACTGGAAGCCCTAAGCCAGCCACATGATACACACATGACTATTCCCAAATTTTACTCATACTTCACTGCACTATGTCCCAATCGGCTTTTGTAACACAGTACAGTAAGTCCTTACGTAATGGCATCAGTAGGTTCTTGGAAACTGACATTTTAAGTGAAACAATATACCGCAGGTCCTTGAATTGTTTAGTTCACTGTTGTTTGGTTACAATGGGAATCAGAAAAAAATCGATACCATTATATGCCATTTTGCTTAAAGTCACAATTTCACAGAACCAATTAATGATGTTAAGTGAGGTCTTACTCTGTACTAGGCATCCACAAACAAAATCAATCTTCATTTGCATATATATTAGCCGGGTCATGCTGCGATAACAAAATCCCATAGGTTGGATGACTTAAACGGAAACTTATTTTCTCAGTCTGGAGGCTAAGATGCCAGGGGATTTTATTTCTGATGAGGGCTCTCTTCCTGACTGGCAGACAGGTGCTGCCTTATTGTGTCCTCATATTATCTTCCCTTGGTGCTTATGTGCAGGGTAGGGATGGGGAAAGGGGAAGAGAGATTGAGCTCTCTTTTGTCTCTTATAAGGACACTGATCCTGTAGAATCAGGGCCCTGCCCTTATTACCGCATTTAACCTTATTTCCTTAGTGGTCCTATCCCCAAATACAGCAACACTAGGCTTTTAAGGTTTCAACATATGAATTTATGGGTGATACATTTAGTCTAAACATGTAAGCTGAAACTTCTTTACCATTTCTTAAATTGACAATTTTAAACTGAGAGGTGACTACTTTATCATTTTTATAGTTTTTGTTTGTTTGCTTTAAAAACTATCATGTGGCTGGGCATGGTGGCTCAAGCCTGTAATCCCAGCACTTTGGGAGGCCGAGGCGGGCGGATCACCAGGTCAAAAGATCGAGACCATCCTGGCCAACATAGTGAAACCCTGTCTCTACTAAAAATACAAAACTTAGCTGGGTGTGGTGTCGTGCACCTGTAGTCCCAGCTACTCGGGAGGCTGAGACAGAAGAATTGCTTGAAGCCAGGAGGCGGAGGTTGCAGTGAGCCGAGATTGTGCCACTGCACTCTATCCTGCCACCTGGCAGCAGAGCAAGACTCTGTCTCAAAAAAACAAACAAACAAAAAAAACTATCATGTCTCCCTATAATCCCAGCACTTTGGAAGGTAAAGGTGAGTGGATTTCTTGAAGCCAGGAATTCAAGACCAACCTGGGCAATGAAGTGAGACCCTCATAGCTACAAAAACAAAAAACCCAAAACAGAATGAGAACTATCACATTTGCTATTCATGTAACTCCACCAACTTTCTTCTTATTGGTATTTGCATGATACATTTTATTTTTCATCCTGGTAACTTAACATTCCTGTATCTTTGTATTTTTTTCTATATCTCTTATATAAAGCTTATAGTTGTATATTTTTCAAATTCAGTCTAATATTTTTGTCTTTTAATTAGCACTCATAATCACATTTAGTCCTATTATTGATATTTCTGTTTGAGTATACCATTTTCTTTCTGCTTCCTATTTTCTCTGCCTGATAATTTTTTTTACTCCTTATGCTCTGTTACTTAATATCATTACATATTTTTTCCTTGTACAAATGATACCAAATATTTTAAACTCTATTCTACAGTACCTCTGTGTATCTAAAAAGTAGCATAAAGCTTATACTTCAACTAGATGGTCTCTATTAATAGTTTATTACCACAAAGTGTGATTTGCTTATCTTGTGTGAAGTGAGACAGTATTATTTAGTCATATTTTGCCTTAAACTTAAAACTGTTAGAAGAAAAAGACTCAACAGTAAATATAATAATGAATGCTATGAAATTACTTTTGATTAAAGTTATTTTTGAATAAATTAAGCAGAATTTGGTTTATGGATGTGTATCATGTTAGGACTGCACAACCCATCCATTACACTGTATTATTTATTTTTTGATTTCCTTTCATTTTTTGATCTGATATTTACTAAGAGAGGCATGTTGAATTCTCCTATTATTTTGGATTTATCTATTTATTCTTATAGTTTTGTCTTCTTTTTAAATGCTGCTTATGTTATTGGTGCATATGTATAAAAATACCATATTTCTGGCAAATTCAGCTGTTTCATTTTGTGAAAGCAACCATTTGAATCTCTGGTAAGGTCATTTGCCTTAAATGCTATCATGTCTGACATTGACATACTATGGTGATTTATTTTTGTTAATGTATATGTTGTGTATGTCTTTTCATCTACTTATTTTCTATCTTTCTGTATTTTTATAATTTACTGATGTGGTTTACAAATCATTTATAGTTAGATATCTTACAAATCTAGTGTGAATGTCTTTTTTTTAGTTTCTAGAACATGTTTGAATGTTTTAATTTAAAATTATTATAATTATTGACATATTTGGATTTAAATATTTTGAGCTGATTTTTGTCTTTTTTACCCAGTCCATGTTTTCTGCTCTTCATTTTTTTCTTTATGTTGGAATTTTTTATTTCATTCTGATTTTTCAATCAATTATATCTGTTTTAAAATGTTAAAATTTTTAAAAAAGATTAATACTCTTAGAAAAATAAAATTGACCTTCAACTTTTCTTTTGAGGCAGAGTTTCGCTCGTTACCCAGGCTAGAGTGCAATGGCATGATCTGTGCTCACCACAACCTCTGCCTCCTGGGGTCAGGCAATTCTCCTGCCTCAGCCTCCTGAGTAGCTGGGATTACAGGCACGCGCCACCATGCCCAGCTAATTTTTTGTATTTTTAGTAGAGACAAGGTTTCACCATGTTGACCAGGATGGTCTCGATCTCTTGACCTCGTGATCCACCCGCCTCGGCCTCCCAAAGTGCTGGGATTACAGGCTTGAGCCACTGCGCCTGGCTGACTTTCAACTTTTTAAGTGTAGGTAGTATATGAAGTAGTAAGAATATTTCCACATTCTTTCAATAAAAGCACTTTCATAATTTTTACATGTAACCTCATAGTTTATTTTGAAAATTAGTCTTTTTTTAATCATTGAATTGTCATTTGCTTAAATTTTTATAAAAAAGAATGGAAACTTTGATTTCTGGTGTATTTTAACAATTAAGAGGATTCACAATAAAGCAGTGTCACATTTCAGTATAGTCTAAGCCTCTCTCTTTTTATTTAAGATTTTAGTTTATAATTAACACATAATAATTCTTCATATTCATGGGTACAATATGACATTTTAGTCCATATATTCATAGTATAATAATTGAATCAGGGTAATTGCCATATATATTGCTAGAATTTATCTTTTTTTGTGGTAATAACATTAAAATTCTTCTTGTCTAACTATCTTGAATTACACACTACAATGGTATTTGCTGTAGTACTTTATTATGTAACCGAGCACTAAAACTTATTCATGTCTAATTGTAACTGTGTATCCATTAACAAGTCACTTACAGTTCCTCTTCCCTCAGCCCCTCTGTAGGCTCTGATAAGCACTATTCTTCTATTTTTATGAAATTAACTTTTTTAGATTCCACATATGAGTGACATCATGTGGAGTTTGTCTTTCTTGCCTTTGGTTGCCGGTTCACTCTAATGATTGTTTCTTTTGCTGTACAGAGCTCTGAAGTTTAATTAGATTCCATTTGTCTATTCTTGCTTTTGTTGCCATTGCTTTTGGTGTTTTAGTCATGAAGTCCTTGCCTATGCCTATGTGCTGGATGGTTTTGCCTAGGTTTTCTTCTAGGGTTTTTATAGTGTTAGCTCTTATGTTTAAGTCCTTAATCCATCTGGAGTTAATTTTAGTGCAAGGTGTCAGGAAGGAGTTCAGTTTCTGCTTTCTGCACATTGCAAGCCAATTTTCTCAACACTATTTATTGAAGAGGGAATCCTTTCCCCATTGCTTGTTTTTGTCAGGTTTGTCAAAGATTAGATGGTTGTAGATGTATAGCATTGCTCCGGAGGCCTCTGTTCTGTTCCATTGGTCTATGTCTCTGTTTTGATACCAGTACCATGCTGTTTTGATTACTGTTGCCTTGTAGTCTGGAAGTGTGATGCTGCCAGCTTTGTTCTTTTTGCTTAGGATTGTCTTGGCTATGTGTGCTCTTTTTTGGTTCCATATGAAGTTTAAAATGGTTTTTTCCAGTTCTGTGAAGAAGATCATTGGTAGTTTGATGAGGATAGCATTGAATCTATAAATTACTTTTGGCAGTATAGCCATTTTCACAATATTGATTCTTCCTAACCATGAGCATGGAATGTTTTTCTATCTGTTTGTGTCCTTTCTTATTTCCTTGAGCCGTGGTTTGTAGTTCTCCATGAAGAGATCCTTTACCTACTTGTTATTTTATTCTTGGGTATTTTATTCTTCTTGTAGCTATTGTGAAAGAGGTTTCCTCTTGATTTGGCTCTCTGTTATTGGTGTATAGTAATGCTTGTGAGTTTTGTACATTGATTTTCTATCCTGAAACTTAGCTGAAGTTGCTTATCAGCTTAAGGAGAGTTTGAGCTGAGACAATGGGGTCTTCTATATATACAATCATGTCATCTGCAAATAGGGACAATTTGACTTCTTCCTTTCCTAAATGAATACCCTTTATTTCTTTTTCTTACCTGATTGCTCTGGCTAGAACTTTCAATACTATATTGAATAAGAGTGGTGAGAGAGGGCATCCTTGTCTAGTGCCAGATTTCAAAGGGAATGCTTCCTGTTTTTGCCCATT